TAAATTCTGCAATTGTGTAGCAGAATGTCCTAGGCCTCCACATTCACTCACCACTCACTCACTGACTCATCCAGAGCAACTTCCAACCTCTGAGCTCCATTCCTGGTAAGTGCCTTATGCAAATGTACCATTTTTTGACGTGTATAGTGTGTTTTTACTGTACCTTTTATGTATAGATACACAAATGTTTACCATTGTGTTACAATTGCCTACAGTATTCGGTACAGTACAGTACAGTAACATGCTACACAGGTTTGTAGCTTAGGAGTGATAGGCTACATTATATAGCATAGGTGTGTAGTAGGTATATTCTATGATGTGGGCACAGGGATAAAATTGCCTAATGGCATCATTTCTCAGAACACATCCCTGTCATTAAATGACACATCACTGTATAAGTATTTTTTTATCTTGATTATAAGTGTGCACATGTGTGTAGAATATTTACATGGTTCTAAAGTTCTAGCTACAAAACAAAGTAAATTTAGAGAAACCTAACTTCCATCTGTGTCCCCTCTCCTTCCTCTAAGAAATCATTATTAGTGGTTTCTTATTATTTCATTTCTGAAATAAAAGTAAAATACATATTTATATTCTCCCTTTATTAAATAAGAGGTAGAATATTAACTGTTCTGCACCTTGTTTTGTTTTGTTTTTTTCACTTAACAATATATCCGAAAGATGATTTTATGGAAGTATAAAAATATCCTACCCCTGTTGGAGCTGCTTAGTATTCCACGGGGTGCATGCACTGTAGTATGTTCAACCATTCCTGAGTTAGTGGACATCTGAGTTGTTTCCAGTCTTTAGCTATTATAGACAATGCTTCAGTGAACACGTCTTTTCATATTTGTGCCATTGTATCTTTGGTTTTGTATCAGTTAGCTTTTGCTATGTATAGCACACTACCTCAGAACTTAATGGCATAAAGCAACAATCATTCATTAGCTCAAGATTCTGTAGGTCAGCAATTTTGGCAGAGCTCAGTGCTGTCCTTCTGTTGTTCTCATTCATGTGACTGAAGTCAGCTGGCAGCTCAGCTGGAGCTGGATAGTCTAAGACGGACTCATCCATGTGTCTGGTGTTAGCAGGCTGTGAGCCAAAGTTTCTCAAGTGACCTCTCATCCTCCAGCAGGCTAGCTAGTACTCATTTATATGGTCTCTTGGCAGTCTCAGGGCTCCAAGCACATCAAGAGAGAGCAAGCTCAACACCCAAGCACTTTTCAAGCTTCTATGGGCATCAAGTTCAGTACTGTCATTTTGATCAGCAGGCCACATGGACAAACCCACTGTCAGTAGAAAAGAGGACTAACCAAAAACGTGCAAACATGTCACCCTTCTTCCAGGGGAGGGGTACACTACCAACCATTTGCAAATCATCTACCGTGGAGAGACATTACTAAACGTGGGTGATGTGGTTTGGATATTTGATATTTGTCTCCTCCAAATCTCATGTTGAAATATGATCCCCACTGTTGGAGATTCAGCCTTAGGTGAGGTGTTCGGGTCATGATAGTGGATCCCTCATGAATGGTTTGGCACTTTCTCAGTAGCAGTGAGTTTATGTGAGAGCTGGTTGCTTAAAAGAGCCTGGTATTTCTCTTACTCCATCTCGTCATGTAGTATACTGGCTCCTCTTCTCTTCCACCATGACCAAAAGCTTCCTGGGCCTCATCAGAAGCTGAGCAGATGCTAACAGCCATGCTTGTACAGCTTGAAGAACCATGAATAAAATATACCTCTTTTCTTTATAAATTACCCAGCCTCGGATGTTTCTTGATAGCAATACAAAAGGACTAATACAGCAGGTAACAGGGCAAATTCAAATGTAAAATTGCCAAATTCCCCCATAAAGAGATTATACAGTTTTGCATTTCCTCCATAAGTGAATGTTTCTGTTCCAATAGTGTTACCAAGAGAGTATTTTTTTTTTCTTTGCTTTTTCTTTTTTTGAGATGGAGTTTCTCTCTCGTCACCCAGGTTGGAGTGCAGTGGTACAATCTCGGCTCACTGTAACCTCTGCCTCCAGGTTCAAGCAATTCTCTCCTGCCTCAGCCTCCCAAGTAGCTGGGATTACAGGTGTGCACCACCAAACCCGGTAACTTTTTGTATTTTTAATGGAGACAGGGTTTTACCATGTTAGCCAGGCTGGTATCAAACCCCTGACCTCAGGTGATCCACCCACCTTGGCCTTCCAAAGTGCTGAGATTATAGGCATGAGCCACTGCATCCAGCCAAGAGAGTATGTTTTCAAACTTTCATACTTTTTCCAATCTAAAAGTGAATAATGGTATGAGTGGTATTTTAATTTATATCTTTCATTATAAGTGAAGTTGAGCGTCTTTTTATAAACTTAAGGGCCATTTGAACTTTTTTTCTGTGAGCTGTCCGTATGTTTTGTCCATTTTTCCATAGTGTGTTTTGTCTTCTCTATTTTTAAAAGTTCTTTTTATGTTAGAAATATTAGCCCTTTGTGATATTACACATATTTTTCTTAATTGCCATTTTATTTTTTAACACGTAAATGTAGTCAAAGTGATCAATCTTTCCTTTAATGCTTCTGGACTTTAAGAAAATTTTCTTCATTCTTAATAGAATTCGCCCATGGTTTTTTCCTGTTTGTGTGGGGGTTAGGGAGAGTATCCAGTTATCCCAATATCCAAGAGTCCATATTTTCCCTGTTCATCTGATACCACTACTACTGTACACTTAAATTTGATTAATTGGGTCTGTAATAAGGTGACATTGAAAGTATGACTAATCTCAGGTAAAAATGTAGTCAAATTCCATATTTTTGTTCTCCATCTTCCCCTCTGCATACACCTCTTTCAAAACTAACTCCAATTCTAGCTCCTCTATGAAGCACAGTCCAATGTCAGCAGCAGCCTCAAAGTTCACTATTGCTCAGTCATAACAGTATGGGCTTCCGTATGTTAGACTTGGTTGCCACCTAATTGTGTGATCTCATGCAAGCTACTCAGTTCTCATGGGGATAACAAAACCTCCCTCTCAGCGTCATTTGTAGGTAATTCACTAGCATAATACTTGGCATACAGTTAGTGCTCAACAAAGAATAGGAAGCCCATTAAAGAAGTGGAAGAAGATCCTTAAACAACTGATGAGAAAGAAAAGCAAAGACCTGATATGCATATGACTCAGAAATGTGGCATTCAATACAGAAACAGCTCTGTTGGCAGTGATAATGTGTCGTGTTTGTGTACATATGCGCACTTGCACATAGACTGGGAAAGAACACGACTATATTTTTTTAGTTTCACTCAGGAATGCTTCTTTGTAGACTCGGGGTGGGGGTTGGAGTGGGAGGAGGGAGGGTCTTTGCTTGACAAGTAACTTACACTCTCTGGCTATGCCAATTCTGAATGCTAACCTAGGAGGACAAGATCCTGAGAAGGCACTTCAGCTCAGTTCATGTCTTAAGAAAATCAGAGCTTAAGAATCAGTATGTGCTGAAGAACTGAGCATCAACCTGTAAACACTGAAGTTCCAGGATACCCCCTCTACTCCTGGCACTCTATCTCTGAGGACTTCATATCCCGCCCTGCCACAGGCTTCTTCTCTTGCTTAGAGCTCTTCAGGGCAGGGGAGTCGTGTGCCAACTCTTTTTAGCCAGTCCTTGGAAGGCACGGCCTCCTTCATTTCAGCAGTTTCTGCCCCAGATGTCAAAGATGACAGGTGTAAATCTCGATGGAAAAAAAGAGCTGGAGCTAAGTTGAAACAGGAAAAGAATAAAGTACCAAGGTCTTGGAACTACATTTAGGATACTTGAGGGAGCTAAGTTTGGCTGTACTGTGGCATAGTTGAGAGTTATAAAACTTGGAGAAATCCAGAGATGACTTTGGCACACATGAAATTTTCTTTTCAGATAAGAATGTTTTTAAAGTATCAGAAGAGTGGTGGAAGCTGGGGCCATGGAAAGAGAGATTGACTGGGGAAGGCACATGAGAGGCTTCTAGAGTGACAGCAATGTTCTGTATCTTGATAGAGGTTGTTATATAAGCCTAGTTAGGCATTTGTTAAAACTTACTAATGCACACGTAAGATTTGTACATTTCTTTGTGAATTTTACCAAAAAAAAACTGAAAAATACTGAAGTCTAAGGAATAGGCATGTTGCAGTATTTAGGGAAAACTGTACCGATGTCTGTAGTTATCTAAAAATGTATTAAAAATGCATCAACGGCTAGCTGGGCACGGTGACTCGTGCCTGTAATGCTAGCATTTCGGGAGGCTGAGGCCGGAGGATCACCTGAGCCCAGGAGTTCAAGACCAACCTGCGGCAACATGATGAACCCCTTCTCTACCGAAAATACAATAATTAACTGGGAGTGGTGGTTCTCCCCTGAAGTCCCAGCTACTCAGGACCCTGAGGTGGGAGAATCACCTCAACCTGGAAGGCAGAGGTTGCAGTGAGCCGAGATCACACCACTGCAGTCCAGCCTAGGTGAGAAAGAGAGACTCTGTCTCAAAAATAATAATTAAAAATGTATTAATAGGATGCACAGATATGTGACAGTGGCAAAATCCAGGTGGTGAGTATATAGATGTGTACACTAAAATTCTTCCAACATGGCTATATGTTTAAAATTTTTAATAAAATGTTGGGAAGTTATCCAATACTATAGTTATCAGAAGCCAACAAATTACTCCACACCTCTGGGCGCATAGCCATCCTGAGGGCTGTCACTGGGAACAGAGAGTTCCTTCCAGTATGCTCTCTGCCTGGCTCTAAGCAAGCCACTGACCTCCTTTCTGACACCAACCTGGACCCACAAGTTCTCCGCACTTTCATCATCTTGTCCCTGCTGGGCAGAGGTGAATGGAAAAACACCACAGTGTACTCAGCTAGTGGGCAGATCTTTGTAACGAAGACCCAACCCTACATGCTTTCATGGTAAATTGTCAGCATAAGTGCTTTTCTGTGCCCAGAGAAGACAGGAAAAACTTGGTTTGACTGTTTAAAAAAGAACATAATTGTAATAATTCATATATATTGCTTAATATTTCAGATTTTAAATTATAGAAGATTGTTTTCTAATAATGACATGGAGAAATGAACAGTATTTTCTTATTTCCTATGCTGATGGAGAGAGGGCTTAACATTTGTTGAGCCTTAGATATGGGGCAGATATTTTGCATACATTAGGTCACACGGTCCTCCTAGCAATACGAGTACATAGCCCCACTATCATTTTATAACGAGGTTCACGGTCCTGGGGCCAGTAAATAATCAAATCAGGACTCAACCCAAGATCTCCTCAGCCCAAAACCATGTTCTTTTTCATTGAAGCACATTCTGGCATTTAAAATAGGTTATGTTCTGCGAAGCTCAATATAACCACAACAGCAGCAGAGTCATTTGGCCAGGATTTTACATAATACCATTGGGTAAGGGAATAAAATTTGTAAGGGCAGTGTCGTGTTCTACTTCATTTGTCTTTACCAAACCACCACTCACCAAAAGGCATTTTTAACAGTTTACACTTCTCACCAACAATATTGACAAATGTAATGAGAATACAAAACTTGGCAAACTTTCCCGTATTTCTGATAGCTTTAGGGGCAGTTCAGGGTTTAATCTACTTAACTGAAATTTAATGTCAGTGTTGAGTGTTCATAAACTAGAACTAAACAAATGGCCCAACTGCCCCTTAATGATTTTCCGTATCATGCTTACACTATCAGGCAAAAATTACTTTCAATGGAATAGTACTGTTTCCCCCACGTGTTAAACTAAGCCGGATTTCTGAACAGACAGAAACCATGCAGTAATGACCCAGTAGATGGCACTAGTTGTACTGACTACCTTGTTTTTATTCAAGTAGCCCGGCAACTTAGGTCAGAAGTTTGTTTCCTACCAGGGCTACAAACATTTAGTGAAAATTAGAAAATCATGGCACTCATATCATGCTTTCCATGTTACTTGTAGAAAATATTCATTGTAGTTGCCTCTCGGTACTGAACAGGACTGAGATCTTTATGTGGAAGATGAAGGGTGGTTTCTGTAAGTATTTTCAAAAGTATTTTTCAGCTCTCCAACTGAGCTACTTTTCAATTTGGCCAGCCTTTTCCATATAATAAAGTAGGGAACTGAGGGACAGGAGGAAGGCAGAGGAGGCCGAAAACATGAATTTGCTGAGATGAGCAACAATAAACTCTAATTTTCAAAAACTTAGGGCAAAAAAAGCATTTTATCTTGATAGACTCAAAGTCATGTGGCCTCCCTATTAATATCTGATCTTAGCATTGATGTATAATTTAAGTAATTTTATTTGAACCTAATTCAAAATTTGCAATGCCCACATCCACAGGCCATACTGAACCTCTTACTCTGCTTGGGGCTATATGCTTTACCCAACAATTCTCCCCAAGTACAATTTGTTTTACAACCCAAAACTTCAACATGTATCAGCCTCAAAAAGGTAAAAAACTGAGAAAAAATACATAATTTCAGTACAGAGGGAGAGTGCAAGGGCAGGAGGCAAGCAACTTCAGGGTTTCAAGTGCAGGTCTCCCAAACGTACACTAATGTTATTGGTGCAGAGGTGCCATACGAAATTTTGACAAGTTCCTGGGAAGTCTCATGTACATTATTCCTAAATCATTAAGAATTTTATTCAATGTATTTAATATACACACCAAGAAACTAGACTACCCTATGCTGAGAAGCATAAATTTTGATGGAATGAAAGACATAAAACATACTTAAATTTCTGATTGGAAATAACAGGTTTTTAAAAATGTCACTAGCCTTTCAACAGAGGTTGAGACACATTGTGGGGGTGTGTCAATAAACTCTCAAGAGACCTGCGCTCTTTTACAGGTCAACAATGATCATCCAAGCCTTGGGTTGACATGTTCTCAAGGCCTGGGGAGCCGCAATAAAACTGTGAGTTGTGGATCAAGACCTTCCAAAAGGCTTAAACGAAATATCCACTAGTCAAGCTTCTTAAAATGTTCGTCTTCACATCATACTGGTTATCTCACAGTAAAATCTTAGTAAGATCTCTAGGTCTAATGTTAACATGGAAAAAAGCTGGTCATAAACCAGACTTGATTTCCCCTTTTCTTACTCTGTGATCTATACTTTGAGAAACATTTATAGATGTTTAGTTCAGAAACTTGGAGTAACTTGGTTACAATATTTGAACTCCAAACTCAGGAAGTTCCCAGTAAAGCAAACTGAGACATTTGGATATAATTTAAATATACCTGAAAAGTAAAATGTTTTTCTAGCTTCTCCCTCAGGGCGTAAACCACACTATTCGTAACAGTGCTATTTTCCAAAGGTCACAATTAGATTTCCTCAGAAGCATATCTGAACTGTTAATCATTACAACTCCTTTGTGAAATATGGGACTGGTTAATTACACAGTGTAATCACTGGCTGAAACCTAGGCACACAAGTTTTCAACCCCAGTGGAGGCAGCCTATCACTGTACCCCTAACCCAACCTGTACCCCTCTTACTGCCCATACTAGAGAACTATGATCTTTCTCCACTAGAAATGTTCAGACTTTCATCAGGTAAGGGATAAAATAGAGAAGCAACAGAAGATCATATATATATACATATTAGTAATAGTGCAAGTAAGCTCAGTAAGGTTAGAGGGGACTTGTTTGGGGGAATTCCATGTTGGTACTGCCTCTTATCATGTTCAGTTTGCTGATTCTAGAATGCTTTATATACATTAGAAGAACTTAACAGTCATTCTGAGCCTAAAATGGCTTGGAGCAAATAGGCAGTATGTCAACGACACCAGAAAATGTCAGTCATTTCAGCAACTAAATTGAAATGTTAGATCTGTATGTCTTCAGACTGATGTAAAGCTTGTACCTTCTGAGAAAACATTTTAGGGCCATTTGCCTACTTTCCTATGCTTTAGAAGTTCTCATATCATAAATTGTAACTTTAATTCTTTTACTAACTTCCTATTTGTTTTTAGCATCACTCCCTTGGTATTACTCAACCCAACAAATTAAGCACTCATTTAAAATGTTAAATGATAAAAATACAAATGGCAAATACTGCACATATTCAGATTATCCTCAAGTTAAATGGTCATCAAAGTTAAAAGTACAAAGACTATAGGGACAAAGTATAAAGCATTGATACACTAGGAAAAACTGAGTGTTTAAGTGCCCATGGAAAGCATATTGTAGCCATCCCTGCTAAATATCGTTATCTGGCTTTATGGATGTCATCGTTCAGTTTCTGTATTACAGCTACTTCTCCTAGAACCTGCCCAAACAAGAAGGAGCAAATGGATCTGATAAGACTTTGATCCATCCCAGAACCCTTTTGTAGAAATGATATGGGGGACCCGGTTCTGGTGGGGGATATTTTTTATACTAATTGGTTTTTGTTTTCAGTAGGTGTTGTTTAAACTTATTTCGAAGTTGATAGCTGCAGGTAGAAAACTTCTTCCTCTTAGCTTCTTGAGGAGTGTGTTCCAGTAGGCTGGTAAGGCAAATATTCATTATGGATTGTAACTCACTTTGCTTTGATTTTGGAGACTCCCCTTAAGAAAAAAGAAATTTGTTAATAAATGACAAAAACACAGAATAAAGTTACATTATTGAAGCAAGTGTCAAACACAAAAGTAAAAGCTTAGGTCTTTCTCTATTTAACAATATGTTAAAGCAGAGGTCCCCAACCCCTAGGTCAGTATCAACTCCGGCCTGTTAGGAACAGGACCACCCAGCAGGTGAGTGACAGGCGAGGAAGCCTTACTGCCTGAGCTCTGCCTCTGGTCAGATTAGTAGTGGCATTAGATTCTCAAAGGAGCACGAACCCCATTGTGAACTGCATATGCAAGGGATCTAGGCTGCATGCTCCTTACAAGAATCTAACCAATGCCTGATGACCTGAGGTGGAAGTGTTTCATCCCAAAACCATCCCCCCATCCCATGGAAAAACTGTCTTCCAGGAAACATCTCTGGTGTCAAAAAGATTGGGGACCACTGTGTTAAAAGGTAACAATACTTTCATACTGAATTCTGCATTTTTTCCTGCTCTTAGGGTATAAGATGACAAATATTTGACTGCTTATTACGTGTCAGAAGTCATTATAATTACTTACATGGAAATCTTAAACAAGTCTAGAAAGGATACTGTTGTTTTCATAGTTGTGGAACCTAAGGATTAGAGGTTTCAAGTGTAATAACTCACCCAACATCACAGGTGAGGAGACAAGGAGGCCAGGATTGGAAGCCCAGAATTGCATACCTGACAGTATTTTAATTTTCTAAAACTCCAAAATCTCTTCTTTTAAAATCACCTGTAATGCCATATTCTCCCACAAAGTGATAAAGTGTTGCTCCTATCTTAGATAAAACAATCATACACTAATTTGTAGTGTTTTTTAATTCTAAACATCTACCATCTTATGAAATATACTCTCTATCCCAATCCTTAGATTACCTCTTTTGAGGTATTCTGTAATGTGAAAATCTTAAGAAAACATTAATCACAAAGCCAAATTAACTATAATCGTTAATATGCACATGAATAAAGGAAAAAAGATTCTATAATTTTTGTAACCCCAGTTACAAAAGTACTATAGACCACAAATAAACTTGTGAAGATTATTTGGTATTTTGTCTATCCCTTAACACTTTCCACAGTGCCTAATACATAGTGTGTACTGAAATATTTGTTAAAAATACACTAAATTAGAACAAACAATCTGGCACAACTTTTTATATTCAAGTGCTATGGAGTTTTCAGAAAACGAAATCTACTTAATTATTTTGTGATCTGAAGTGGGAAAAAAACAAAGCAACAAATGCAGGGCTGAGTAACCATGAGGTTGATGCCATCACTACAACAGTAGTTAAGATGTACTGGCTCTCCACTGGAAGTCATTGAAAGAGCAAAAATTAAGTAGGTTTGTTAACATTAACACAAGTTTTATTCAAGAGATAATATTAAAAAAGAGTTAAATCCTAAGTTCTTCACCCTACAGTAAAAAGGGACGTGGGTACCACTTATGACATGTACATAAATTCCACCTTTACATTTCTGAATAAAGCTGTAATTGTTTGATAGAGCCATTTCTTAAACTTCTACTAATAAGGCTATGTGAACTGTGTTCAGAAACTTTGACAACATACACACTAATGCCTCTCAAAGTTAGTACCCAGGATTTTTACTCCAGGCTGAGTACTGGGACTTAAGACTGCATGTTACTGTATGAATTCAATTTGACTCACCTCCAGTATGTTCACAATTATTTTTGAAAATAATCAGATCAATGTTTGTAACTTTATAACTCCCTCAAATTATACTTCAATATTTAACATGGTGGTTTCAAAAAATATCCAAGGCCCCAGTTTCAATCTTCTTCCAATGTAATCCACAAAGTTGATATTGATAATACATATTAGGAAGACTACTCTAAAATAAACGTAGCTTTCTTTTAAAATTACTTGTTGCAATATAGATCACATTCTATTCCAAATTCTGATAAGGAATCTGTTTTTTGGTAGTACAACAAAAATTTAGGACGAGTCAGTCCTTGGAAAATCTTAATGGCAGTCGCTCAATTAAGTCAATCATTCCGAGAGCCACAAACACTCAAAACTTACAGCTAGCATTGACAAGTTCTTGTGTTTTTTGATGGTTATTGCTTTAGTTGGCAATATCTGAATACAAGACAAAAGAACAGCTCCCATTAAGCCTTGTGTTAAATATTACAAAACTTATACAGAAGATAAGACTCATAGAGGCTATAAAGCTGATGTCTTAAGTAACTCACCCATGAAATGGGTGCAGGTTTTTTAGAGGCTCTCCAACAGTCTTTTTGCTCTAAAAATAAATGCCCCTACTTTTCAGTGTTCCCATTCTTCAATAGGAGACTTGAGCAGCTTAACAGTTTTGCTATAAAAACAAACCATTCTTCTTAATAAACCAAGGATACAAAAGGAAATCCAATAAAGGACATACTTTTCACAGTTAACAATAAATAAAAGTGCAATAAGTGTTCAAGTAGGGCATGTAGTATAAAAACTACATGTGAGTATTGGGCCTAGGTCATCTTTTAAAGGCTCTCCGAGGGTCCCTGCCATTACTTATTGTGGTCATCACTGTTTGATTAGCTGTTCCTGGTAGTTGTGGATTTCTAAGTCCCCAGCCATTGCTTCTGCCAGCATGTGAAAACTGGTGTCCCCTTGATTCAGGGCCAGTGTGAACACCATTTCCTAAAAAAGAATACAAAAACCCATCACTATTTGCAGAAGTAGTCCACAATCATCTATAGAAGTACAACTATCTTAAGTTCCAACACATGTTATTAATGCTTAAAAATACTAGGGGAAGCACACTTTTATTTTTATACTGAAACAAAACAAAACAAAACAAAACACTCAATGTGGGCTCTAAGTTTTTCCAAATGTATTGCTATAGATATATTAGTTAATTTGATGCTGTATTAATAGAGAGAAAAAAGCCAACTTGGGCATCAAAATTAGAAACAGAGTTTAAAAATGCATTGCCTACACTATAAAAGAAAAACACAAAATAGTGTTTTGAGTACTGGAATTTGGCTCAAATATGATTAATATTTAAAAACAGACAATGTTATTCTAACTTTTTAAAGGGAAAGACAGCATTTCCCACACTGTGATCAGCTGTGACAAGACGTGTAGCCTTCAAGTAAAATAAAACATTAGCTGGCCAGGGGCAATCGCTCACGCGTATAATCCCAGCACTTTGGGAGGCCGAGGCGGGTGGATCATTTGGGGTCAGGAGTTCCAGACCAGCCTGGCTCATATGGTGAAATCCCATCCCTATCAAAAACACAAAAATTATCAGGGCGGGAATGGCGTGCATCTGTAATCCCAGCTACTGAGGAAGCAGAGGCAGGAGAATTGCTTGAGCCTGGGGAGGTGGAGGTTGCACTGAGCTGAGATCAGACCACTGCACTCCAGTCTAGGTGACAGAGTGAGACCCTGTCTCAAAAACAAAACAAAAACCAAAACATGAGCCATCCTAATGAACTCCAATCACAAAAGACTCCTCCTCAGATATTTAAGAAAAAAGACTTCAAAAGATCTTTAACAGGGCTACAAGGACCATAAACATGACATCTAGGGGTCATGTTAAATGACATTTGAGGGTCACTAGGCTTTAAAGGGCTTGATTCATCTTTTAAAGCAGCAGTTCCTAGTACGTGAAAAATTAAGGTGAACTATTATTCTAAAGATAAGGGCTTTCAGTGCACCACAATAACCAACAATTCTGCATTTACTATAAGTACTCACTAGATTACAGAAATTTTGTAGAAATCAATTTTAGAAAAAATAACATGGTATCTCTTCACAGACATCACCAAAACTTACGAAAGAATTCTCAATAAACTGGCTTAAGAGTCTATCGGCCTTCTAGAAAATCTGCCATTCAGGGATTCCCTGTTCACCTTTATCACGAATTTATGCCTAAAGACAGTTTTCATCTGAATCTTTATAACTCTCTTAATTCTTACACCTGATCACAAATGAAACACACAAACAAAATCTTACCCACTGGTCCAAATGTACCTGTACCCATATTACTATTCATGGAATTATTCTTCTGTTCACTCTGTGCCTAAAAAAAAGTTTTTAATTTAACCAAGTGAGAATAAAAACACAATTACATTATTACAACATTATTATATCCTTTCTTTTTTAAAGTTTTGGATTTTTTTAATTAACAAATTTTTACAAGGTTTTTCCTAGGTCCTTCAAGGTTAAAATGTTAAATGTTTTCCAAACCTTTCAAAGCTCTGTTACATCCTATTTCCTGATAATAACTCACCACTCCCCAAAGTGCTAAATGGCATATATGTATCTAGTAGATGACAGCTCAGATATATGTACTCACAAAACATCCAATAAAAATTATTATTTTAAAAGTTCTCTTCATTATACTATTAACAGGACTAGCCTAGTCATAGAATTAGAACACAGTCAAAAATTAGCTTAATCATAAAAGTATACACAATTACCCCTTTGTTCTGATGTCCTCGATAATCTGGGTTGGGTTCACTGAAATTTGGCACTTCTGAATAAACCATACAAAATCTGAAAGAAAATAAAGAACAAATTAAATAACTTCTGAAATAAAGTAACCAACCCTTCTTCATAAAACATCTCCAGCTTTTAGGACTGAAGAACTTACGTGTCAAACAAATTAAGAGCAACAAACTAACTCTTCACTTACAACAAAAACTTCCTAAACAATTATGTCCCATAAAAACATCAAATATTTGACTGTCTACAAGATATATAACATTCTATTTTGTATTTAAATTATTTAGTGCTGAAAAAAATAAATCATATCAAAACTCAAGGACACAAACACATCTCTGTCCCATTTTTCCACAAAAGTTGATCAAAGGAAAAATAACATGAGAGTGAACCATGTTTAGGGTTCCAGGATGGTTTCTCCAGCAGTGGTAATGGATTTGCATCGATCCATCACCCACTCCCATTCAGTCCCTCTTTTGATCAATCACTGTGGATCTGCAAAGATAATCATTTAGGGTTAAGAGTGGTTTCTAGGCAATAAATAAAAACAACAGGTTACACAGTCACCAGTTTATCCAAGCGCTTCTTGTAAGTTGGCCATATAATGTGCAGTAACATTACACAGAAGCATTTTATTAGCTCCTCACCCTACCAAAGAAGACAAATCAGAACCAGTTTGGGTAAATCCTAGACTGACCCTGACAAAGAGCAGTCATCAAGAAATGAGTTATCTCTAATAGTTCTTCATACAACTAACCTCTGTTATCAACACCTCTGTACAAATACATGAAGGTCAGGACAGAATCCTGAACCTTTCAGTAACAGACCTTTCAAAACACATAACCCCATTAACACTACTCAGAGTGAATCCTAACTTTCCCTCTAACAAAGGCAAAGTGTTAAACGTTTCTGATCTTTAAAACCCAGCATGATCATTTATTTTCCTTTATTATTAACCACAGTTTCTCCAAATAAGTATTTTATTCCCTCAGTGCAAAAAAAAACTTTTCCTTTTTTTATTTGGTGCCATTTGTGGCTTCTCTCTTTAAATATCTTCCAATTTGACAGGCATTAAGTAGATGGCTGAGCATTAACCAAACAGAATGGACTGATGATTTGGCTCATCGCCTATACCGTACTTTATGAATACAACCCAATGTCTAGGCTAACATGGAGGCTGAATTACCTTACACCCCTAGAGAGGATGGCTCCTCCAGGTCAGGGTGGAGATCATTACCAGGGTAGTAGTGTATGGAATCTCGCATTGCGGCTGCCTGCACCGCACCTAGACTGTGGATAAATAGAGGACTTCAGTTTTCATCGCTGCAAGTCCTTTTAACATGAGTACATATTCACCCATAACCACAGAAAAAGAAAATTTAAACTTATGGCCTGAAACTTGGTGAATCAAAGCTTTGTATTTGGTGAATCACTAGAAGAGAGAATCTACTCCAAATGGCACTTGTGGCACGTAAAAATGCACATTTCTAAAGCCTTCAGAAATGCTCCCACTAGGGCTGGCCTCAACTGCGGCTTCCTCAACTGCTCTTTGCCAGGAAAAATGGACACTTTCAACCATAGGAAACACCACTAACAAGTGTTAAACTTGTACACACACAGTTATTTTTTCAATTAAGCTACCAAAAACATTCAGTTTACTAGTCAAAAAAGCCAAGGAAGAGGTTTACAGTTTATACCTACCAATTATTCCGTAGATATTATTTATAATGTATGCGATTATACAAATGCATTTTAATACTTACTCCCCAATTTTTTGAAGTTCACCACCTCTTCCAGTATAAAGTGTCAGACATCCTTTCCACATGGATGCATACCTAGAGAGAAAATAAACGTTCTTTAGAAATATGTTTATTTTCTTCTATTTAAATCAAGTAAATCTTCACACTATATATTTTTTGTATTACGGTGCAAGTGAAGACCAAGCCGTCTGTTCACCATAGTAAATTAAATACAATAAATCTAACTTTGATAACTTGCTATTTACAAAAGAATACAAAACTTCTGTTGAAATTTGACATAATTATCTAAATTATAACAAACCCTAAAAAATAAGTCTCTTTGCAAAGCAAGCATTATTATGTCCAATGATTTAGTTAATTTTAGTCAATTAACAAAAGAAAAGCTTTTAATTGCAGAAATTTAAACAGAAACTATTTTTCAGCCACAGGATATGTAAATACCCTAATGTTTTTACAGGCATTTAACAGCTAGTCAAATACTGATGTAACAGTTTTCCTTCTGCCTTCATAAAAGACACAGGATTCCTAAGCTACCAACGATCTAGTAGAATTTTAAAGTGCTAAATAAAAAAACTAAGGTCACAAATCTTTTACCCATCTGCCTTTCCAAACATGCAATTTTTAATACAACATTGGCTTTGTAGTAAACAAGCTGGCAACTGTTTACTCCGACAACATTGAAAGCAGACAGCATCATTAAATAAAATAATCCCAGATATGTTTTAAAAAAAGGTAAGTTAATATTATAAAATCAATAAAGGTTTGGTTATAATGGTTCTTTGTATAACTACTATGGTAACTTCATGACTAACTTATTATACAGTTCTCTTTATTTTAATAAGGGTTATTTATTAAAGACAACATTCACCACCCTTAAGTTATACAAACAGTGGCTTAGGAGACAGTGCATTAACATTTCACCTTACTAAAATAAAAATTAATGCATATTTTGAGAAAAATTTGAATGGTTACAATTAAAATATTTAACATTCACTTTAAGGAATGAGAACACTGAGGTAAGTTTGTAAGGTACTCTGATAAGCATGTTGATATTTGAACTAAGCATTACTTAGATGTTAGGTATGTTTTTCTTCAAAGCTACTTTTTTTTTTTTTTTTTTTTTTTTTTTTTTTTTTTTTTTTTTT